TGTAGTGCCTAGAGTTACTAAGAGTAGAATGGGTGGTAGAACATTTAGTTACCAAGCTCCTCTCCTTTGGAACCAGCTCTCACTCTCAGTGAGGGAGGCAGACACGGTCGCTACATTTAAGGCTACACTTAAAACCTTCCTTTTTGATAAAGCTTTTAGCTCAACCCTGAACCATAGTCATCCATAGCTATGCTGCTATAGGCCTACACTGCTGGGGGATCACCCATCAGGCACCAGAAACAAGCACCTTCTCTCTTCTTCACTCTCTGCCTGGTTTATTTTGTTATATCTTATTACATATCTCTAACTCCTAGGGTCTTCTCCTCCCCTCCTTGGTCCATACTGTGCAGCTCTCTGGAGCCCGTTCTGGCTCGGGTCCTGATGAGGGATGGACCTAGTGAGGTCGCCGGTCTGTTCGCAGGGCTGAGATGGAGGGTCACGCAACCACCAGCACTCTCACCTGAGTACCTCTCACCTTTGGAGCCATGGGACCATGAGGGAGGCAGGAGTGCCCGGGGGGACCATGCGAACTTCCATGTGGAGATTCCCAGGCTGGATTCAAGTCCTTGACCTGACACTGTGACTCAACCCCCCCCTTTATTTCCTTTTGTTCCCCTATATTACTTGTTCTTTCTCCATCACCCCAACCGTTCCTGGCAGAGGCCGTCCACACCAAGCCCGGTTCTGCCGGAGGTTTCTTCCACCTGGGAGTTTTTCCTCCCTGCTGTATCTCATGCTTGCTCGGTTTGGAACAAGTTGGATTTTGTGTTTGTTAAGATCTTGGACTTTTGTGCAGCACCCTGAGAAAACTGTTTGTTGTGATACCGTGCTATATAAATAAACTTGATTTGATTTGATAAGCAGTGCATCATTAAATCTCCATCTACATGATTTAGGACAGTGATTCTCAACTGGTGGGTCGCGGACCCATTTTCAGTGGGTCGCAGGCCTTTACCGGGGCAATAAAAAATGTTAAAAATAAAATAGAAATATGTGCTTTTATTTTGAAGAGGATTTTTATGCAGCGGAGTGCCGTCTATTCACACTACAGTAGTTGGCGATAATGCCCTGTAATGCTTATTGACACCCGCCATTTCACAGCATAGAAGACGACTAGCAAAGTTTGTTTTTAAAAGTGAATTGAGCATGGCGAAACGTAAATACGACACCGAATATATTAAGTATGGATTCTCCTACATTGAGGACAACAAAGGACAAAAACCTCAGTGAGTTTTGTGCAGCAAGGTGTTGGCACAAGAAAGGATGAAGCCTTCAAAACTCAAGCGGAATCTGGAGTCAGCTGGTGGAGCTGTCATGTGACCGCACGCTGAAAAAGAAATTCACAGAGGTAAGCCTCTCCCATTTCTGGTGCAGCACTGTGATGAGCGGGTATCCTTCCCTTGCCACTCGAGCAGTAAAAATCCTCCTACCATTCAGGACTATCTATCTCTGAGTGTGGCTTCTCAGCTCTGGTTGAGCTGAAGACAAAACACAGAAACAGACTGGACATTGAACATGACCTCAGAGGCACTTTGTCGACTATAACTCCAGACTTTGAGACTTTTGTGAGGACCAAAAAACATCCCCAGTTCTCCCATTAACTCCTCCAAACTCAGGTCTATGATGTCAGTAAGGTTGAAGTTAGTGCTGCTTAATTTTCTTCAAAGCACAATGTTTGTCAGTATTTACCAACTGATAAGGTAAAGAAGAAAAGTAAATTTTGTATACTTGAATCTTTTTGAATTGCACTTTTTGTTAAATTTATTTTGAGTTTGTGGATAAAAACTGAAGAAACTGAATTTATTCCATAGACCACTGTTGGTTGTCATATTTGCACTTTTTATTTTATTTTTAATTTAATTATTGCCAGAATAAGTGACTGAATAAACTTTCAGAGGACAGTTACTGAAGTGTTACTGAATGTTATGTTAAATCAATTTGAAAAGTTGAAATTTTTCTTTGATTTGGGTTGCAGCTTGTCATTAAGGGGTGATGGTGGGTCCTGAAGCCAGACCAGTTGAGAACCACTGCTTTAGGATAGTCCACGTTTGGTGCTAGAATACAGAACACGGGGATTATTCAGAAATGAAGAGAGGGAGAATGTTAATGTGGGGTAAGTTCTTAATGAGGAATGGGCCAACAAAGATATAATCAATCATGGACGAGGTGCCGTGCCTGCAAAAATACAGTGAGGGTCTACATAGTGTGATAAAGGAAAGAAGTTTTCTTCATAAACATTAGGTACATAGCTAGATCTGTGTTATACTTTGACATTAAAATTTTTGTTGAGCCCTTCTGTGATGTTTCCCATTGGGATTTGGGACTTCTAATCCATACTGGGTGCAGATGTTCCTGTACACTATTCTAGCAGCTTGGTTGTGCCTTTCCATATACACTGTTCCAGCTTGCATCATACACCCTGCTTATTGGGGTGGTATGGTATTGATGTGGGAAACCCTGGCCTCTATGGCTCTTGTTCGTAGGGCCTGTTCCCGTGCGGCCATGATTAGCGCCTCTGAGCTGTCTGTCAAAAATGCTTTCTCAAGCCATTAGCAGGTTTTCTTGATATCAGCCACTTCCTCTGGCAGTGGTACATGGCATGTAGGGGCTTGTCCATCCATGTTGTTTGCTCCTTGTATTTTTCACCTTCATTGGGTTTCTGCTGTCTGAGGCATTCACTGATCAGCTTATCATTTAGGGCCATTTTATTTCTTCTTTCCCCTTCATGTATAGGGGGTGCTGGGGTGCAGGGTGCTGGACTAGGGGTGAAACCCTTCATGCATGGTGAGGAGCTTTCTTGTCTTGATATCTGTGGCTTCTATCTCCTCCTTTTGCCAGTTAATGATGCCAGCTGGGTATGATGACTCATAGTGCATACGTGTTGATGGCTTGGATGTTGTTCATTCATCAGACTTTTCAGGACTTGCAACATGGCGCCCCCTGTGGCAGAGGTGTTTGTTTTGCTCTCCCGACAGCAACATAACTTTATATACTTTTTACAGTTTTTTTATATCATAAATGCATGGTTCATCCATGCAACCATACAATACAGGTGTGTGTGTGTGTGTGTATGTAAACAACCGATGGTGCAGGGATGTACAAACTGTTAGAAAACACTGTTCACCGGACATTGAGCTAGTAGCGGTGGAGCGCAGGCCCTACTATCTCCCACAGAAGTTCAGTGCTGTTTTCATCTTTACATTCCACCACGAGTGGATCATGCGGCTGCGCTGTCAACGCCATCAGCAAGCAGGAGGCTGCACACCCTGACGCTGTGCTCATCGTTGCTGGTGAGCCCTACACATAGCCCTCACACACCTAGACACCCAAACACTTATGCTGTTTGTTGATTTTAGCTCTGCTTTTAACACAGGCTTTCGGAGAAGCTGCTGTCACTCGGCTTGACACCTTCCCTCTCTGGCTGGGTGATGGACTCCCTGTCTGGCAGGCCACAGTCGGTGAGGGTGGGGGGGGGGGCAGATATTGGGCATCAGGACTGTGAGCACAGGAACCCCCCAAGGCTGTGTTCTCAGTCCACTCCTGCACACTCTATTAACGTATGACTGTGTGGCCTCCCAGCCTGGCACCAGCATCATACAGTTTGCTGATGACACCACAGTCATCGGGCTGGTGACAGATGGGGAGGAGACGTCGTATAGGAGGGAAGTGGCAGGGCTGGTTGCATGGTGTCAGATCAATAGCCTCTCTTTAAACGCTGAGAAGACTAAAGCCTAGTTTATGCTTCTGCGTCACGTCGACGCCGTAGCTACGCCGTAGCTACGGCGTAGACGCAGACCCCTACGCCGTAGCCTGACGTGCGCCTCCCAAAAATCCTAACTACGCGGACGTCGACGGGGACCGTAAGCGCTGTGATTGGTCCRCTCAGAACGTAAGTTCCGGCAGTTGCTTTTCCGGTCTTTCTTCCTCGTCGTAAAAAACACCTCCGCAAACGTTTTCTTGGTAGCTTGCGCTTCAACATTTGCAATATAAGCATTTGTTCTTCAATATTGATGAGCTCCAACAACAAAAACAGCTGCTYCACCTCGGTCRCCRTTGTTTACTGTTGTTTACTTTACGGAAGAAAAAGCGAGGATTCGGCTATAACCACACAAACACACCGCTACACCCCCTAGCGGCATGGCGGTGAATTGCAGAGCAACGCGTTCCCTCGACGCAGAACTTCGAATGCTCAACGACCTACGGCGTAGGTACGGCGTAGACGTGACGCAGAAGCATAAACTAGGCTTAAGGAGATGATTATTGACCCCAGGAAGAGGCGACAGCAGCACACTCCACTGTTCATAGGTGACACTGAGGTAGAGAGCGTTAAGAATTTCAAATTCTTGGGGACACACCTCAGTGAAGACTTCAGCTGGTCACATAACACCCACGGGCTCTTCAAGAAAGGGCAGCAGAGACTGTACTTCCTAAGGAGACTGAGGAAGTTTGGCATGTCAGCCAAGATCCTCAGCAACTTCTACAGAGGTGCAGTCAAGAGTGTCATAGCCAATGCCATCACAGTGTAGCATGGCAGTTGCACTGTGCAGAACAGGAAGGCTCTGCAACAGCTGATAAAAACAGCACAGCACATCACCGGGGCAGCCTTCCCACCACCACAAGGACCATCAGGAGGGCCCAAAACATTACAAAAGACAATACCCACCCCCAACACAGCCTGTCCACACTCCTGCCTTCAGGAAGGCGCTACAGGAGTGTCAAAGCAAGGACGACACGCCTGACAAACAGTTTCTTCCCACAGGTTATCAGACTGTCAAATAAAACTTTGAACTCTTAATTATCAACCTTGTAAACAATGGTTGACACACTTTTCCTTCACCTTGTGTAGCTCAGATGACAACTTACAGTTTGAAAATATACAAGTAGGCTTTTTTTTTCATGAGAAATGAAATTTAGTCATTCAATTTACATATCAGAACATTCAAAGAGAAAAAAAACAAATTTTGACAATCAGGACGGTGCCCTGTTGTATGTACACTCACCTCTCTGTCCAGTGTAGGCTGTTGGACATACAGTTTGCCTGTGTTTTCATCAATAGTGAACATATGACCTGCGTCATTTGGCTCCTGACTGACGATGCTGTAGGAGATCTCTGAATTAATTGTTCCAGCTTTGTCATCATCCTTTCCCTCAATCTGCATTACAAAGGTTCCTACATTGGATTACAAGAAGACAAGACTAGTTTAGTAGAATCTATCAAGTCAGTGTTTAATGGACTTGTTCATCGGGCAATCATATACACTATATCAAGACTGTTTAGAGCTACTAAATAGACATTGTAGTCTTATTATTAAGCCATGGTATGTGGTATCAACCTCAGCGCTGGCAGTAAATGGGACAAGGGTCCCAGCAAAGCATCAACCCCACAACTGTTCAGTGCTATCATCTGGCTGCTTTTTGTTCATCTGCTGAGCACAAAATGTGTTTGGGGTTTTTTTGAAAGAAAAGGGATAATGACTAGGCTGTTTTAAACAAAATAACTAATGATGTCTTCTTATGGGTCACTGAATTCTCTGAATGCATAAAAATTACAAAATGATTAAATAATCTGTTGTCACAAATCCTATACCTGTTAAAGAACCTAAAAACTTAGAAATAATAAATATGAAATGACATGAAAAATACACAGTTAAAAGTAGCAAAAACATCTTCAGGTTTGATGAATTCAAAATGTAATAATAATATCCTTTACTAATCTCTTGTTGCACCAGCATGGGTGTAGTTTGATCATAATCAAAAACTGCTAATAAGAAATATTCAAATTAATTTATTTGACGTTACATTATAAGTGGCAGGTGTTCATGTAGGATCCACCATTCACAACAAGAGACAAAAAGAGAAAACTGTTGTTTAAAGTCTTGTATTACCTGTTTTGCTTGATTCTGTGATGTTCCCAGTATGCAGCTCAAAATACGGAGCATTATCATTCAGGTCCAGGACTGTAACTGACAGTGGGATGTTGTCTTCGGCTAAGGTTCCATTATTGTATTTAGCAATTCCTGTTAGCTGCATGAGTTGGAGAATATGAAACAAAATTAGACTGTTTGCTGTTGCACTTTATGATGTAGATGTAAATCTGATTTTCATCTGGAAAGGTATGTTTAGATGCTTGTTTAAATAAATGATTTATTGCAAAAAATCTCATTGCACAAGATGTTATAGCTATAGTGAAGAGAGCTACAGGTTTATGGGCACATAAACTCATGGAAGGTTGTTTCACAGTAGGTACCTAAACAACTGTTGGTGCGATCCCAGTCTCCATGCTGAGCATTAGAACACTTTTATAGATATGTAGCATGAGAGAACCATTCAAAATTCTTACAGTAGTTTCCTCTTAATAGACAGTACTATGACATGTGCACTAGATGCCATTTTTACCAACCTGCATATCCTATCTCTCATTATGCAGGCTGTCACGTGATGAACATTTGCAAGACACTTAAGTAACCTCTGTTGTTACTTCACCCTCTTGGATTGAAGCAGTTAGGCTGTGGAACAAGTTGGATTTTGTCTTTTTTAAGATCTTGGACTTTTGTGCAGCACACTGAGACAACTGTTTGCTGTGATACTGTGCTATATAAATAAATTTGATTGATTGATTGAAATAGAATCAGGTTTACTATCACTTCATAACATACAACAGCAACGGACAAGGTGGCGCAGCAGAACTGTGTGGCTTGGAAGGAAATGCTGACGCAGGGGCCGGGTGGTGTTGAGATTGAGCATAACCCAGAGAGTAACTAAGTAGTATTCTTCACTCTTTGACTGACTGTTAGGCCTGGCATTGGACTGTGGCATCGCCATTTTCTTAAAGTGATGTTTATTGGTTGCTCTGCCTTAAGCGATGTATTTTGGAAATGTGTCTTTTGTGTATGTATAATTGCATGAGCAGACATGTATGTGGAAGACTGACCAAATTGTATGCCTAAAATAGCAACTTTAAGGTTTACGATAATGGCTTAAGAGGCTTGAATTTTATGGCCTCGAGAAAGCACAACTTTATGGCATCTCTAGTTATCTCTGATTGGGATCTCACACCTGGGGTCTCACTGGGGGTGAGAGTGAAACTACAGGAGGGTAATAAATACACAGTAAGATTCCTTTTTATTGTCCCACAACCATGCACACATAGCACCTCTGCATTTAACCCATCCATGTGAAGACAGCACACACGGAACGCAATACACACAGTGACCACACTGTGGAGGGAGGCCATGAAAAGCTGTTACCACACAGAACAGTGGGCAGCCATGAAGGCGCCCGGGGAGCAATTGGGGGGTTTGGTGACTTGCTTGAGGTCACCTGTTTTTTTAACACATTGTATCTGAGACTTATTTCTATTTTACTTTCTTAATTTTTACTAAAGTGGTAATTCTGCTAATATCAAAGAGAACCTCACACATTATGTGACAAACACATCCAACATGTCATATTAGTCATTCAGAGACTCTTGCAGAAGTTATTTTGGAAAGCAGAAAGTTATTTTGGAAAGCAGAAACATATAACCTCTGCCAGTTGTTTTGGCTTCATAATCTAGTAGGGGCAGGTTAAGACTGATCCAGCTAAGGTGCGGGCTGTAGCGGATTGGCCGAGACCCATGACTAAGAAGCAGCACCAGCAGTTCTTGGTTTGGTTTATGTCTACAGGAGGTTTTCCAAACCTACAGTAGTGTGGCTGCTCTCCTTACAGCACTCACGTTGCCAGCAGCTTTTACCACACTAAAGGAGATATTCACCTCTGCACCGGTACTTTCCCATCCTGACCCCTAACTGCAGTTTGTAGTGTAAGTGAACGCCTCTGATTATGAATTGTGAGTGACACTGTCCCAGCGTTCACCTAAAGGTCATAAGATGCATTCCCAGCGTCTATCCCATGCAGATCAAAACTATGACATGGCCAATTGTAAGCTGTTCGTGATGGTTCTGGCACTAGAGAAGTGGAGGCACTGGCTGGTAGGAGCTGAGCATCTCTTTATCATTTGGTCTAATCACAAGAACCTCTCTTACCTTCCAACTGGTTAATTCCCCTGAGCCAAATTCCTAGGAAGATTTAACTTCACCCTCACATAAAGGCCCAGAACTAGAAACCTTAAGCCTAGTGCTCTCTCTTACAGGCAGCGCCTGAAAAAGACAGCTCCAAGCCAAATCCTCCCACCAGGCACCTGCATGTTCGCTGTACCCTCTGCCTATCCCCAGGCATCCTTGGCCCCAAATAGGATATTGTTTCGAGCCAGATTCCATAGTTCTCATCGCAGGTATGGGAAGCATTTTGTAACGCTCAGGGTGCAACCGCCAGTTTTATCCTCTGGTTATATTTTTGATATATTTATAATTGTTGCCTTATGATTTCCTTGGTTTGTAAGTTTTCTTTCTGTTTTTTTTCGTCAGATTTGCACTAAACTTTAAAGATATTGAATGCACCGAGGGAACTATGGATTATTCCCCAATGTTACAGAACAGTACACTTAAAACACAAAGCTAGTTTACAAATGCTAGTTTACTAGTTTACAAATGAGAATATTCCCCACGAACCCTCCACCCTGGTGCGATTTTTTTTTTCCCCTCACAAATGTATTTTATATTGTCTCTGTACTAGTCCTGTTGGATCTTAGAGCAGCATTTGACACCATAGATCATAAGATCCTGTTACAGAGACTAGAACAACATATAGGGATCAGAAGAACTGCACTAGACTGGTTTAAATCATATTTATCAGATAGATTTCAATTTGTTAACGTCAACAATGACCCCTCCATGCACATGCAAGTTAGTCATGGAGTTCCACAAGGTTCTGTCCTTGGACCGATACTTTTCATCTTATATATGCTCCCCTTAAGCAACATCATGAGAAAGCACCCCATACACTACCATTGTTACGCATTTTTCATTAATATAGGACTAGATGGTGAATATCCCATGTGATATCAGTTTATGTGTGAAGAGTTACAGAGAGAAGCAGACACACACACACACACACACACACACACACACATACTTCTGTAGACAGAAGTGCTTCCTGCAGATTATGAGACAATCTAGTGTTTTAACATCATTGTTGCAGAAAGGGATATTCACATTTTGTTCTATGTTCTAAAATTGCCAGAAATTAATGTTGTATTTCATTCAAAATCTAGGCAGCACTTACTGTATAACATGATCTCTGTTTGAGGCTGAAGCTTTATGTGAATAAGGGTGTTAGAATTAATTCCCCCCAACAGTCTTCAACAGGTTACAGGACACTTATTAGGCTGGGAACCCATTAAAAGAAAGACTTACATTGAATGATGGGTATTTCTCCCGGTCCAAAATACCTGTAATGGATACAAAGCCAGTGTAGTGGTCTACCACAAAGAGGTTGAAGGGTGGTTTGTCAGCTCCTGGCCCAGAGAGATAATACTCTACCTCTGTATCTTTGTCTTTATCAGAGCGAATCTTACAGGAGAAAACAGAGGAAGAAACAAGACATTTTAATGAATGAAACACTCAGCTAGACGGAACTGGGAAAAGCCATTACCTTGAATGTGACATCATAATTTTGTCTCTCTCAGTGACAACACATACATTCATGGACAGACTGTCAGATATTAGGTCAACAACAGGAAGAGTCATAGAGCCAGTCTTCCATTTCGAAGTGTCCTTGGGCAAGCTATTGATCTCTAAATTGCTCTGCCGTTCTCACAGAAAATGTGTTGCAGACACATGCACTCTATTAATGAGTGTGAATGAACGAATGGTAAAAAAAGAACTGTTCTATAAAGTACTTTGAGTGGTGAAGACTAAAAATGCACTATATAAAAACCATTTCTTTTAATGATCAACTGTCAAATGACCTTGGCAATAAATTCCCTTTGGGTGTAGTCAGTGTTCTCTAGCAGCTTGGCAGGAGGAAGGATCCAGTCTCTCTTCCTTCTCTTTTGTGTCTGTGGCCTCTTCTGTCTTGCCTTAGCACTGAGGATCTGAAAAAGACAGCAGATGTACTGGTTAAAATGTTTCTCTTCCAACATTACTTTTTAAAATCATTTTTGATGGTTCCAAATTAAACTGAAGGGATTATAGATAATGACAAATAGAAAAATTTAAGATTTTTAAAAGGTGCATCTTTAAAAAGTGCTTAATTTTAACTTCTTTTTGTTGACTCTTTTCTTCTCACTTTACAAGTTTAACAAATTTTCTAACAATCTTAATACATCTTAATAACTGAAAGCTTTAACACCTGCTGTCCAATTCCTTGAGGGGTTAGGGTCTGTTCTAGACATGTCTATTTTTGAATGAGCTGTTTGCTTGCGGTACTCCTGGATTTAGCTTTCTGTCTGAAACTGTAAAAGCCTGAAGCTGCTCCACCACTGCTACACAAGGAGTTGTTTATTCAAAGTAAGGTGAGGCTTGTGAGACAATAAGTTGTCATTGCTGTCGTCCTGATAACACCCATTGTCGTGAATCTTCTGCTGTCGTGTTCAACTTCACTTGGATTTAAGAGTCCCAGCAGCTACTACAGAACACTCCTTCCTTGTTAATTCAAATTTTAGCATTTTTAGCATAATGCCTGTCGAGATTGCATAACATTAGACACTGGACTTCGATATGCCTGTGGCAGTAGACCATGCCACGGGGTTCCCACCACGACAGCCAGAGACAAACCTGTCCAACCATTCCGTGCTCAGCAACATCTTTTATTTGCACTCAACAGAACTGACAAAATATTAACTTAAAGGGTCAAGCACTTTCTGCTGGACCATTAGCTTCAGTCTCTCTTCCCCAGTGTGTGTTCTTTCGAGGCAGCTCAGCTGCTGCCTTTTCAAGTCTGAGGATCAATCAGCTAACAGCTCTCACCTGTGCTGACTGATCCTCTGTGGTGCAGGTGAAGGTGCTCTCTCCGCCCCTTCACCTCCACAATGCCATTAACAATACACATAGGCAACTCGACTCAAGTGTGAAGGCAAAAAACAGAGATATTGAGATGTGTGAGCCACATATAGAGACAGACAGAGATTGATTGAGTGACTGATTTGGCAGGTTTGGGCATGGGCATGGTTTCTCCCTGCAGGTCTGGAGTACCTGCAGTTCGTTCTCCACCAATCACCTGGTGCAGTATAAGAATCCTGTTTTTCATTCCGCTCTAGGCCATATTATACGTGGTAGTGCCTTCTGTATTGTCTCACTTCTGCTACTGTGTGTGTGCATTCCAGTCTGTTGATTCTCCATGTCTCTGCCTGCCTAAGGGTTTTACCTGCCTGCTGGTTAGTTTACACGCCGTTCCGCCCTACCTGAATCCTGCCTGCCTGTTTCCTGCCTGGATATCATCTTAGACATAATAGATAGCTTGCCGTTGACGTTCCAATTGGTGTTAACAGACATCTGTGTCTTCAGACTAGAATATGCTGACAATAACAACTGCATGGGTAAAAACATTCTCTTTGGCCTAATTCGGGGCCTATAGCATTTGTGGGTGTTATCTTGGAGTTTAAAGTCTCTTCACTAGCATGAGTTCGGCAGAATCTGAGACCGACTCAGGCACTTCTGATGTACTTTAAGATTGTCTCTAATTCTCCTTGGCCAAGCATCAATAAATATCACAACATAAGACATCAGAGGCTCATGAAACTTTCTTCCCTCCTGACCTCACCATTGACCATTGATTCCAGAAATTTCTCCACAACATTTACCATTCATAAATGATTGGGATCTTGTATGCATTTTGTTTTGTTAATGTGACATCAAGGGATATATAATGTGGGAGGGATAAAAAGATAAAGGAACAAAAAAGGTCAGAATGGAAGTCCTCTCTGTCATACTGCAATGTTAAGTTGTTGTCTGTGAAATTGCTTCCAATAAAGAAAGTTAATAAAAAAAATGAAACTTTCTTCCCTCCTGACCTCACCATTGACCATTGATTCCAGAAATTTCTCCACAACATTTACCATTCATAAATGATTGGGATCTTGTAT